AGGCGCCGAGCCTCCAGATCCAATTCTATGATGAATTTTCAAATCCAACTAAGGGTAGCTCTATTAGAATTATTAATGTCTATAAAAAGCCTTCAGAACTTCTCAGAGTAGGACTTCCAAAAGACACATTTATATACACTTACATATACATAATATACTGACTTTTCTGATTTTTTTTGAAACAGAGTCTCACTTTGTTGCCTTTGATAAAGTGCTATGGCATTATAGTTCACAGCAACCTCAAACTTTTGGACTCAAGTGATCCTCTTGCCTCAGGTTTTCATTTTTAGTAGAGACAGGGTCTTGCACTTGCTCAGGCTGGTTTTGAACTCTTGAGCTCAGGCAATCCACCTGTCTCGGACTCCCAGAGTACTAGGATTATAGGCATGAGCCATTGTGCCCGGCCAATATATTCACTTCTCAACTCATACTGAAGGGCAACCACATTTAAGCTCTATGATCTAAAAAGATTATTATTAAAACAGTTAAAAGATGAAATTAATATGTGATGGTCCTGCAATTTCTAATCTTGTGATAAAATTGCTTGGTAAGTGGAACTAATTCAATAAATGATGTCATATTCATAACACTGCACACTATGATTTTCCCTACAGTTTATTTATACATTAATTCATGTGACTGTCCCTAATCCTCCTTTGGGGTAGAGGGTGTAATACTGTCACCATTTCACAGATGAAGAAACAGGATCTTGTTATTAATAGTTAAGTAATGCTAAAGATTACATGAATAGTATCATGCCTGTGAGGTGAGATGTAACTTTAGGACTTTCTTGTCTTAGGATTATCAGTTTTCCTTACATCTCACTACTATTCCTATTTATTAAAAACAAAAATATATTTATACCTGCAGATTATTGGCATTAGGGACATCTTCATGGTTCTCATCCAAAAGCTTTGAAATAATCACTAGACTGAGGCGCTGTCTCAGTTGCCTGGAATTAGAATTTAAAAATATTTAGAATGTATTTTAATCAATATTTGCTTGAGAAGCACATGAACGAGACAGTAGGAATTCTAGTTCTTTTTTTTGAGACAGAGCCTCAAGCT